TTCTGTGTTGCTTTAGGTGCAAGGAAATCTATATATATTAGTGTTTGAATTAATTATATACTGGGACATAAGTGCACAGGCATTGTCAAAAGCCAAAGGGATACAGAATTCCACAGTCTTTCATCTTTTTTTATTTATTATGGTTTGGACCAACATTTGACTATTTTATCATTGAAAAGTTGCGTATTATTATCATGAGATTATTCCTTAAACAATCATTAATTTATTGTTAATAGAAAGCATCTCACCAATCAGAAAATTGACAGTATTTCTATATCCCATACAAAGGATTTAAAATTTTCACTGTCAGTATACTTCTTCCTTCATAATTAGTGGAGAAAGTGAAAGGAAACTAGATAGTGTTTCTTTTTATTTACTTCAACAACATCATCGTGGTTGGTGTACAAGGAAACAAATTTCCCAATTACTCTGTTATAGTTTGTTTGTAGTACTCATATTTGACTCTCATGTGTTCTTTTCATATTTAAACTGTTTTTTTATCCTAGGGTTGACCTTTGTCTTTTACAGAAGGCTCGACTATTAAATCTGCTTCCTGTTTTAAAACCAAATAAAAATATACTTCCTGTTTTAAAACCAAATAAAAATATATATGTAAAAGTCACACTTGATAGATATTTGATTTAGGCTTACAAAATCTTTTGAGACCTTAATTGCGTATGTTGTCATGTTCAGAAATTTATTTTTGCAAATATATGTATATTGTCTTCAAAACACTGCTAAACTTTTACAGTTTAGCTCTATTTACGTGTGATTTAAATTTTCTAAAGTTCATGTGGTTCTTAGTTCCCTTAGTCTGCACTATATTTGTTTGTAGGTATTTCATCAAACATTTTATATGGTTCTATGTTTGAATTTGACTGAAAATTGCAGAGGATCCTAATGGAATTTAGAGGTGCACTTTCTAGAACTTTTAAAATTTTGTATCCAATCTAAAATAAATTTTCCAATCTCCATTGGTGAACTTACAGTCACAAAAGTTGCCCATTTATAACCTAGTAGTTATATAATTCTCAAACTTTCTTGAATTTGAAAGTTCCTGGATAAGAGGCAATCTACATGCCAAAAGTATGACAAATGAACATTCCTTGAGTGTAAAGTAAAATAATTGTCACTTGGACCAGTATGAAGGCTAAAAAATTACTAATTACATTTATGATTGGTTATCTGTTGTGCAAGTAAACTGTTATTGCCTCTCTACAA